CCTCTGCAAAACCCTCTATTACACAACACAGTCCAAACAGGTGCGCTTAACTAAGACTTCAGCGATATAAAAACCAGAACTCAGCAGCCATCTAAGAGTTCTTGTAGTTGCTTCTACTCGGCCGATGAGAACTCGATTTCTAAATCCAATGATTGCATACCGTGGATGAGTATCTCTCTTTCTCTTACATAAGCTACATTGTATCTCTATTTCAAAGTTTTAGCACTGTATGATGATATCAACTTCCTCTGCATATCACAGCACACAATAAAGTAAACACGTTATGACCCAAAAAGAAAAAGAAAAAGTAAACACGAAATCACCTGAGCACCCACCAGAGAAAGTATTAAACTTTCAGTATTTTAGGAAACGAGGCAATGAATAAAAACTATCGCACCACTTACTTGTTCTGCAAACTCGGGACTTGTCAGATTTAAAGACAGGTTTCTCATCAGTAAAAGGACCTGATGTACCAAAAAGAAAAATACCAAATAAGCTTCTCTGTTTACTATATAATCAGAATTGAATTTTTGAGCAAAGCCTCTGTGAGTAGAGACCGAGTCTGATTAAACGTGTATCATACCGTTTCCATGTTTATTGGATCCATCTCCTTTAATCTCCGTAGGTGACCTGTTGTGTTGGGATCAAAGACACTTCCAATGAAGCTGTAGACTTCAGCAAAATTTGGCATCACTGGGTTGAAACCGCCACCAAACAACTCATTCTCAGTGTGAATCTCAATGATGTATAACCGGGGAAAAAACACATGATATAACAAGATAGTTACCTCTGTGTGGCTTATCACAACTTTCTTCATCTTTTGGCTTTGTCACTGCTCGTAACCTCTGTGTATCTTCCTTACTACTAGTGCTGTAGCAGCGATTCTTTGGGAGAGCCGTGGCCGAGACTCCTGGTTCCTCTACTATCACGAATTCATCACACCATATTGTTAGCACCATGATGTCACCTTGGACTATCATCAAACCGAAAGCAAAACCAGTCGAACATTTACCTTGGATCAACGGTTTTGGTGGATTTGTTGATTCATCATTCCAAGAAGAAGAGCTAGACGCACAAACAGCCGGGTTTCCCAGCAATGACTGTGAATCAGAGCTGTACAAGTAACCAGGTTCAAGCAACGACGGTGCATTCGAAACTGGGAGGGATCCAACGACATGAGACGTAAGAGCAACTGCGGGATAACAAGCCATCAGAGCGAACGATCAAATATGCAAAAGAATGGGCACAATAAAGCTGAGAAGAAGAAGATCAAAAGTCACCATTTTTAGGAGCCTTTTGAGGATACGGATGACTCGCTTTCCTCTTTGGTCGAGGAGGTGGAAGGTGTTCGTTAGTACCACTCTTCTGAACTTTGAGAAAGTACTTCTGCGCGTGGCTACGTATCTTCCAAAAACCCAAATCACTCAAACATCAATTATCACATCAACATTATAAATAGTAAGATTCTTCAACAGAGAACATATATGACACAATCAAACTCAATTACTCAAACATCAACATGATCGTGGAGACAACGAATCTGTTCGATTCTTCTCTTACCTGAACCACTGTCTTTGATCCAACAAATGCCTCGATTTTCTTCCAATCTCGATCGAATCTGTAATCAAATTGATCCAACAAATTACCAATCTCGAATTTAGTTTCATACAAATTAACAATCAAATCTATCGAATATGTAATCAAATTCAGATACTTACAAGTGAAGAGCTTCTAGAAATTTATCGTGTTCTTGCTCTGTCCAGTTCTCTCTCGACTTCTTGATAGTGTAAGGCTTCCGAATCTTCGTCGCCGGATCCTCAGAAAACGACACCGTATTGGACCGTCCGGTGACCGGAGCAATCGGGGTCAAACCAAATCCATCGGAGTCGGAATTGAAACCCGGTAAACTCATATTCACGGGATCGGAAAATGGAAAACCCTGAGCAGGTCTAGGGTTTACAGACACCATAGAAAGAGCTCGAAAAATAGCGTTTCAGAATTCGCTTTTGCGTTTCGTAATACTTCTTCTCAGGTCCTTTCTCAATCACAAAAACAACTGACTTCACTTCAGACAGTTTTTGTGGCATATAAATGAGAAGAATAAAAGAGGGGTAGAACAGTAATTTATTGATAAGTCACCTTTCGGCTGAACACGTGTTAATATCTGAGTTGATAAGAGAAAGATTTACATCATACTGCCACTAACGCCGTTAAAAATCAACGGCTAAAAATTTGTCACGTGGAGATGATCTCAACGGAGAAACTTTACGTGTAGAGCCGCTGTTAAAGTCTTCTAGCGTTATCACGACCGGTCCATGTGTTCATCAACGTGTACAGTGTTAGTCTTTTTTTAAACAGAGAATTTCGTTTATTAAATTGTTATTGAATTATTGCTTGTTATGCTTCTACTTAAATTAATTAAAAAAGATTTATTGCTTGTTACCAACTTACCATGATTGCTTGTTATGCTTCTACTTAGTCTCCACTCGGGTCGGGTGGATAATAATGTTCCATTTGATTGATTACCATATTAAAAGAAAAACACGACCAAAAAGGTATAACTTGTACATGAAAATCAGACGTTAGCGATTAGGTTTTCCGAAAAAGTGTTCGATCTGCAGACAACCTTGAGAAGATGAAGCATTTGTTTTTGTTCCAAACTTGAATCTCTTACCACTTCCTGAGCTTGTATTGGTGTTCTATGCAACAGAGAACAACTACATTAGTCAATGTTCCAAAGTTACCAAAAAGACTCAGAAGAAGAAACTACTGTGGAAATGGCTTTTAGTTATAGAGATTTCGACATGGCCAAAGTAACATAATGAGAGGAGAATCTTAAGTTTAATGGATAAAGAAGAAGCATATATACTCACAGAAAGTTGGGGTTTAGATCTCAATATTTTGATTCTTCCACCTTTACCATCAGGTCCAACAGCGATCAGATCATCCTTGCCTGAAACAGAACCACCTCTTAGTGTTGAAGTTGCTTCGTTTCTATCTCCTTGTTTGCTCCATCTTCTGAGATTTTGACTTGCTCCTCCACCACCTGCATTGAGTTTTGAACAATCTCCAAATCTACTACTACACTTTTGAAATTGAAATGTTGATGTACAGCCAAAAGTACCAATGATGCGAGGCGAGACTGATGATATCGGGTCTTTACTGATGTTGAACTTTATATCCTTAATCATGGGATTACAGTGTTTCTCCTGAACATTATTATCCTCACCCTTCTGTTCTTTCATATTCGAATCCGAATGTCTGATGCCAGAAACGGTGGTTTCAGGAACATCATCATCATCTACCTCGATAACCGAGTCTGTTTTGACGAAAAAAGAGTCTCCGTTTCCCCTTAGACATGATACATGATTGGTGAAGCCATCGTTCTTCTCTAACTTACCAACTGGTGTAGAGATTATCTCCACAGTGTTATCCGATGGAAGCATTCTGAGAGAAGCCAAGCTCTCGTTTTTTTCGGGCTGGGAAACTTCTCTGCTACTGCAACTCTTTGAAAATTTTATATCCCTTAGAGCTCTGTTCTCTCTCTCTTCAGTTATAATCTCAAATTCCCTCACTCGCTTCTGCCAAAAGAATAAAGGACAATAAGACCTGTATAAAAAGAAACAAATAAGATAAGAGTGCAAGAATAGAGAGACACACCTTTAGTTTATCTATCTTTTCCAAAGCTTTTTCAAGTTTCTCAGAAGATCGAGCTTCGCCTCTGCCCAGTTGATTACACTTTGCTAGCAACTCCTTATAACTCCTGTAACAGAATATATATATATGCAAGAAAGTTTTGTATAAGAGGCTTCCAAAAATAAAATTTGAAGACTTAAAGATGAAAGAAACGAAATACACTTGACCATCTACTTGCTTACATAATTTCGTATTTTCAGTTTAACACGGTGTTTTAAGAGACAAGTGACCAAACAAAAAATACTCTACTCTACAGAAGTAAATGGATGAAGTAAGGTGAATCACTATCTTCATAGGTCACCGAAGATCAAATTGTTTCTAAATCGCATTACACTGCTGCAGCCACGACTAATAGGAGATAATGAACCAAGTCCACTAAGTAAATGACAAAAATGAAAGCAGGCAAGCACTAACAAAATGTATACTATGCACCTACCGATTTCGGATAACCAAGGACTTGACTAGTGTGTCTATTGTATCTTTTGTCTTAGCATTATTCCCCAACAAGGCTAGCTTCAGAACATCATCTTCCTCCAAGCTTAGGTCAGAAACCCTGAATTACAAAACAAGATACAGACTCAGAAAGGTTCTACCAAAAGATTGAAAAAGCAATATGATTTTATCGCACAATTTAAGCGATGCAAGTTCCTTGGCAAGAGCCATAGTTCTCTCATGTAGCTTAGCGCACTGGGAAGTAAGCTGAACACATTCCTGTAACCAAAAACATAATAAGAAAACTCAAAAGTGATTACAATAGAAGCAAAAAGCAACTGAAACAAGAGACGTTGAAGTTTAATCAAACCTCGGATTTCAATTTAAGCAAATTCTGTGTTGCTAGTATCTCTTGCATAGCCTCCCACCTTTTTACTTTATCCTCCTTCAATTGTTCCTTTTGTTGATTCAACTGAGAACAAAAACCCCCCAAATGATTACCATTCTCAGACAAAACAAGAAGTATGTAAATGTCTCTACACTACACACGAATGAACAAGTTTACCATATCGGAGATTTCAACATTCTCCTTTTTCTGAAACTCCAGAGCCGAAGTAAGATTCTGTATCTTCCCTTCAAGCCGCTTCACTTCACCTCTCAAAATCGCTGGATCTTCCTCGATTTCATCACTCTTCCTCGAATCGATTTGATTCCCAGAAGATTGAAAGTAAAGTCGAAAAGGATCTTTCAAAAGGCATTTCTGCTTGCAAATCGGACAATTCCGCTTGTTCGTGCTCGGACAATACTCAAACCATTGCTGCAAACTAGGGTTTCCGAAAAGGAAAAAAATCGATAAAATCCAAAATCTGGGCATAAGATCTTCGATTGTGTTGTGATACTAACCATAGTTCGTGAAAGACGTGACCACAAGCGGAGATCGATTGCAGATTCTCAGCCACCGGTTTGAGATCTTCGTAGCAGATAGTACAGATAGCATTCCCCGCCGCGTTTTCGCCGGCCATATCTCCGGCAATCTATTCAATTCCGACACACAACGCTTTGATTTTCGTACGGACAACTTCATTCACCATTTTTTCTCGAGAAAATCAAAGGGAAATATGTGAGAAACCATGGCGCGAGATGAAATTGAAATTTTCCAGAGAAAGCGCGAAAATCTGCGAAAAAAATATCTCTCTGACCGTAACGAGGGGAACCATGTCACGTGTGTGAGTCATGCCAGTTTGTACAGGCCAGTTAGGCCCAATTTTTTGTTAACTTAAGACCCATGAACCAAACTCGAATCATCCGAACGGATCCTAAATACATAATATCAAAATCCGACTTCAATCGAGAACCGAACGGATATCTAAAATATAAATGAACCAGAATAGGATCCTACTAATACGCAGATAAATACTGAAATAAATATTTAAGTTTTAATTAGTGATCCGTTAAATTTTAAAATATTATTTAACATGGATCCTAAAACCAGTAGAAATCAATTTGTATCATCTCTCATCCTCTATATATTAATAGAAGAGACACTAAAAGAAAATTCTAGGTGTCATCTAAAGAGAATTTTAAGAAATTTTTAAAGAACTTTTAAGAAAAGCTAATAAAATTTCTTAATAACATTATTGTGTAAATAATTAGACTAAATATCACATATACAATATATAACTATTAAAAAAATATAGAAGCAAAGAATATGTGGTAGTTAATATGGAAGATTTTTTTAATAATATAAAGTATATGTGAGAATATATTTTTTCAATGACTATTAGATTTTTTTGACATGCGTTAAATACATGATTAGAATATTTAAAAAACCAATTCATGATTTTTTTTATATGCGGTAGAAATTAAAAATAACAAAGATATATCTCTAGTATAGATAAATATATTTTATCTTACAAAATGTAATTTGCATGATACTTAGACTAAATGTAGATAATTTTTTAGAAATGCCACTCTCAAAAATATCGTCATTTTGAAATTTTCTTTAAAATGCCACTAATCCTCTATATACTAATTGAATAGACACTTGGTGAAAAAATCATATATATTATTCAATGAGGGTTTTAAGGAATATGTTATTTAAATTAACTAATAAAAATATTTTAATTAAAACTATATGCTATGGTGGAAATCTATATATTTTTATTAATTTTTTAACATAAATCCATTAATATATATTTTACAGAGTTAAATTTAACTAAATGTAATATTTAGACTTACTATAACATCTATTTAAAAAAAATTGATATATGAAAAAGCTTTTTATTATTTTATTTGTAACAACATAATTTATTTGTAGATGATAATACAAATATTTTTATATTTTATTATTAGAAAACATATATTTTTTGTTTGNTANGTCCGACAAATTTATATAAATCTAAANTTTANTTGATTTATCNCATANTCTACTATTTACACAAATAATAAAACTCAATTTGACACTTCAAATAAATTCAAATAAATAACATTTGCATTAGTTTTAATATTTTATGCAAAATTGATAAAAGTATATGACATTGAAATATGTTTAGTAAAAATTTAATTTTATTACATTTATGCACAATGCATATCATTTTGTACGTTGATAAATATTAGAATACACATTTAAATATTAAGATTGATTAGAAAACATATTTTAATATTTAATCACACGCTTGGCGTGGATCAAAATCTAGTATTCTAATACATATCATGCAAATCCAAAAATATATAGTATCAGAATTTAAATCATTATCTTAGTGACCGAAAAAATATATTTTAACCAATTATAAATATTTATGATTATGTGGTAGAAAATAGAAGCAACTAAAAAATTATATAGTTAAATAAGAATGAGTAAATTTTATGTTAGTATACTCATAAAAATTTTAAAAAATATTGTGAACCATCAAATAATTACATGATTGATAATTATATTTTATTAGTGTCATTGTTTTATTTCTCATAGAGATTTATACTCGCCAAATTGTATACAGTATTAACTTAATAGTAAAAATAATAGTACTATTATTTTTTAACTTATATAAATTTTCAATAAATACACTTGAAGAGGTCGAAAATTTTTATTTTTTGTGATATTTTAGAACTCTATATTGATGACATAAGTGTTCTTATAGATTTTATTTTTATTTTATTTTTGCATGGTTGTGTATATTTTAAACTTTTAAATTGAAGTTTCTATAACATTTCTAAATTTTGTTTTTCAATTTATATACCTTTTTTTTTNTNNTTNNTNTTTTATTTATTTTAATTGAGATTTTTATACTATATATATTATTTGTTTATTTTATAACTTATGTAATGTTTTTATGTTATGCTTTTAGTAGCAAATTCACACTTATAAATATGACATTTTTTTTGTCTTTAACTATTTAGATAATTTATAATGGAAATAATGTATTTTGTAATAAAAAAAATTTAGAAATATTACATATTTTAGTAAAATGGTTTTTTTTCTTTTTTCTTAATTAGTCTCTAACTTTTGTTTAGAATATATTCTTTTTTTTTTGTTAATATTAGAAATATTACATAGTTTAATATAACGATTTTTTTTTCTTTTGTCTTTATTAGTCCATAATCTTTGTTTAGAATATAAATTTTATTTTCTTTTTAAACATTTTTGTTAATATTGACACATGTCACAATCTAAACTAACAATTTCACATGTCACGATCTGGTGTTTAAGAATTTTGCCTACGTGTGAAGCTCTCATCGCGCGCATTCTCTTTTATATAATAAGATTCATGTATTTTATAATTTTTTATTATTTTTTGGGGTTTTATTGGAAAATTCGGATAAAACCGAATTAAACCGAAAAAAATTCG